GGGACCTTCAGGATCATCCAGTCCCAACCCCCCTGCATGGGCAGGGACACCTCCCACCAGGCCAGGGTGCTCCAAGCCCCATCCAACCTGCCCTTCAACACTGCCAGGGATGGGGCAGCCACAGCTTCCCTGGGCAACCTGGGTCAGGCTCTCACCACCCTCACACTCCACAATTCCCTCCTCATGTCTCACCTCAATCTCCCCTCCTCCAGTTTTCATCCATTCCTCCTTGTCCTCTCCCTCCCTGCCCTTGTCCCAAGCCCCTCCCCAGCTTTTCTGGAGCCCCTTCAGGCACTGGAAGCTGCTCTAAGGTCTCCCTGGAGCCTTCTCTTCTCCAGGCTGAACAGCCCCAACCCTCTCAGCCTGTCTCCAGAGCAGAGCTGCTCCAGCCCTTGGATCATCTTTGTGGCTTCTTCTGGACTCTCTCCAACAGCTCCATGTCCTTCCTGTGTTGAGGGCTCTGAGAACTGGGCACAGTGCTCCAGGTGGAGTCTCATGAGAGCCATGTAAAAGGGGAGAATCACCTCCCTTGACCTGCTAGCCATCAGTGTCAAATACCAAAACAAAATACTTCCTTGTTATTAAGATAATTCTGTTTGCTAAGCTTAAAGTTTAGGGTGGGTCTTCCTAATTATTTTGCCCACTGTTCTACGGTGGGAACTTGCTTCTAACTGGTCATATGCTGTGATCACTGTGTCTTATTGTAAGCTACTTGTAGATGCAATTTCTTATTCTGTGATAATTGGCCACATCCTTTCTGTATGCTGATCTAGTACTCTGCATTGGAACACCCAATGATTGCAAGGACTTTGGCAGTGCCCTTTACCCTCTCAGTGACCCATCCAAGTTACCATTTTTATAGAGTCAGGTGGGTGGCAGGGACACATCTAACATCAAGAACCATGCAATATTTCAAACTGTTTGAAGTGTGACAGCACTTGAGGTTCAGAGACACAAATGAAATTAATTCTTCTAGTTGTCTGAAGAATGTTTCCCCCATATCTCAGTCTGAGAAAGAGACCCAGCCTAGAAAATTTCAGCCTGGACCAATCCTTAGTTAATGCTGTGTAATAGTAAAAGGTTCAGCATTTACTACCTATTAACGACAAGCTATGACTGGAGGTAATAGCTTTTTAATGTAAGTTATAAGCTTGAATTAATTTCAGAGATCACTGTAGTATCTCTAGTTGTTCTTAAATGTTAGAAATTACAATTTTCAAAGTGCTTTCTTGCAACAATCTTTTAAAAACTGTTTTGAAGGACACTTTAAAAACATGAACAATTTCAGTGATAAATTTTTGAACAACAAATGCATAATATGGCATGCTCTACATACTGATTTATGTTTGTGGCTTAATTTGTTGCTTAATTTGTATATTGAGATTGTTACGGGTGATGGTAAGTCATTCTAATTTTACCAACTCTTACTATTTCTATAGATATAAATATATATTTTACAAAGCTGTCTTTAGATTCTGTGCACCTCTATAGTGCTAAAGGCTAACATCTATGTCTGGTATTTGGGCATGCAGTGACTGCTTTTCTGATAACCGAATATTTATAAATCTAAATGACATAGCTGAGAAATTTATTGTTTTTCCACTGGATCTCTCCCCCATTATTTGGTTATTAACTTTCTGACCTCTGCCTTAAAATACAGGGAGAAAACTTTTTGTAATTCTTTTCAAGCAAAGTTACATAGCAACCGTTTAATCTTGTTTAAGAAATGTATTTAGTGGAGTCATCTGAAACTTACATACTGTCACTAATCTCACTTCTGTTTGAGTCTTATTGCCATTCCTTTAAATATTAATATTCAGATATGAGCACCTGCCCCTTGTAAGCCCTATTTTTTGCTAATACAGAAACTCTTTAACACATTGGTCAAGCACTTTCTTAAAAACAGATGTATTGTGGAAAACAATCAGATTTGACTGTTACAGCATTTTAGATACCATGTAGACTATCTAAGGAGGGAGATGGATGTGTGAAGTGCTATTGCTGATAGGTAGAGAGCTCTTCCTTGTTTACTGGCTTGATGAGAGCTCAGTTTTGTTTTGATTGTCACAATTCTGGCCAGTGCCTTCTGTCTTTAAGTCCTGTCTAGCCAAAGCACTAATTAGCTCTTAGAGCTTGTCGTAGCATTAATAGCTTCTTTAAGTCTGTTTTGCATGAACAGGAGGCACTGATGCACAAAAATGGGAGAATGAAGAATTGTTTCTCTAATATTTTCAAGGGGATTGAGGGGGCAGGGGGTGGTCCTGGTGTGACAGGAGTGTTAGGAGGTGTTGGGTTTTTTGTTTATTTTAAGCTTTGGATCTTAATGGTTTTGCAAAAGCAGTTATTTTTGGATTTTGTATTTTGGAGCTTCAGGATTCTGGTATTCAGCCAACGCTCCTCGTGCTAATTAAAGCTCTTGCCAGGCCATACATAGCTATATGCAAACTGGATACCCTTTCCCTGCTGCTTGCTTTAAGAATTTGTGTTCATTTTCTTCCACCCAACTCAATTGCCTGTAGTAAAAATACCGAATCCATGGAAAGATGTATGGAGGACAGGAGTGTAAGATTATGAAGGTTAGTTAGCCTAGATGTCTTCAGACAGTGCTGTACACAGGGTGGAGATGTGTCTTAATATGTTTCTCTCCATTATATCTAACTGATTTACTAGAAGGTTTTTAATTCCCCAGGATATGAGGTGGATTGACAGAACATACTTGATTACAAAGTGCAACAACTTTGCAATTCAGCTGTTGCACATTTATTGCTGTTACACTTAGAAATTACAGAAATGATCAGAAATTTAAGTATCTTGATAAAACAGTAGATTCTCTGAGTGTTCAGAGAATAATCTGAGAAGTATAAATTTGTAAGTTTACCTGCCTTAAATAAGGTTGCCTGCATGATTTTCTGGGAGGTGAGGAAGCTGGAATGAAGAACAGAAGTGAGTTAGCAGTACATTATTGCAGCTCATCTTCTTTGTCCTTCAAAGATTTACTCATTTGTCATATATGCCACAAGGCACAATACAAGCTTCTACCATAAATGTGTTACTTGTTCAGAATTTCTTGTTCTTCTGATCCATAAGATGTGCTCCTCATCTCTATTGAATTTTGAAGTCAGTAAGCTGTTTACCCAGCTTTCCTGGTTACTGTAATATAAGCTTTAAACAAGTACATGAAATTAATGTTTGGTTTTGTTCAGGTAAGATATCTTAAATAAGGAATCTGCATATCTGGAGAGTCTGCTTAAGCTCACTAGTTTCAGTAGGTCTTGATTGTTTTTTGTGTATCACCACCATGATGTGTGTATCACCAGACTCATACCGAGTTCATAGTCAGAAGTGGTAATTGAAGTATATATCAATTAATGCCTACTATAGAATTCCTGTCCACACAATCTAGTGAAAGCTGGAAGCTGTTCTCAACACTGCTGTCTCCAAGGATTGAGGGAAGTATGCTAAGTCTTCACCTTCCCACTGACAGCATTCCTGAGGAGGATGCAGTCCTCCTTTGTGTCAGACACTGAGAATAATCTCTGGATCTAGTCTGGGGTTCCCAAATGCAGGTTTCCTGGGGTACAGTTGGCTCCAGGGTCCTCACTGCCACCTGCTGAGGAGCACCCTGGAGGGAATACCCTGCATCCAGGCAGCTCCTCACCTCAGGCAGGTACAGACTGCAGCTTAGGGAAGTGCTTCTCCAGAGGCACTTGGTGCTAATCAGGAAACAAGGGTGTGGAAGTACTTGCTGAGATGAGTATCAGGAAATGCTCCTACAGAATACCTGGCAGGGGTTTGTTTACAGTTTCTTGGAAATTCCTGCCTTGTGTCACGTTCAGTGGGAAGAGCAACGTGTTACAAGCCTGCAACATGTATTAACTAGGTCTCCTAGTGCACTGACAGGCCTCTGTGCTGTACCTGGAGTGAAACAAATCTCAGACTCTTCATTTTCTGCATTTGCTTTAATTGTTATCAGTAGTTTTGGAAACAAGAAGAACCTTTGTTCAGAACATAGATTTCTGAATTTTCTCTTGCTTTGGGGGGCTGGATTCTGCAAGGGTTGTGCTACCAGGCTTCTTGAGACTCAGCTGCACATGGTGCCCAGGAAGGAAAATTGGAGACTCTGTGTTCCTTCTGAAGAAATATTTGCTGTGTTTGGTGTCTTAGAGAGTTAGGGCCTATAAGGAAATTTATCCCTCACACTTCCCCTTCTAAAGCTGCCTTCTCCAGCAAGGCTAGCAGCAGCTGTGTTCATCTTAGCTCTTCAGGTTCCTTTCTGTCAGTTTTGATATGGGTTGTTTGCTTGATTTGAATAATTGATTTGCAAGTATAAAAGCCTTTGCTACTCTAGACTTATGCTGTCCTTAATACATTTTAAGTGCAATAAAGTATTCAGGTCTTTTAATGTCTAAACAGGAGGTATTTTACTATGCCTACTTACTTGAATAATAGTAACAAAAAGGTGTTCTCAGCATAAACTTTTATTTTCAGGTTGTGTCATGAAACTGACAATAAATTTTCTGATTATACTGTACATTGTTGCAGATTTTAGGATTTCCATATCCAAATGTAAACCCCTCAAGAAGGTTTTCTAGTGCTTTAGTTTCTCCATTACCTATAGTTCTTCTGTAGTTAAGAAAAATTAGATGTTTTTAACAAACAGTAGCAGCAGGGAGTGGAGAAGCAGGCACTGTTAATTGAGGTAATAAAATCTGTAATTTGTGGCCCAATATTTCCCTAACAGTGGGAGATAAGATACGAGTTCAAGTTGCTTTCTCTTTCAGTTGTGTAAGTTGTCACATCACTGTTCCCATAAGAGAATGCAGATGATTTACCTTTGGCTTCGGGCTAAACAGGGAGGAGAAACATGGGGAAAATAAATACATACAGGTTGAACCCCTGTAACAAAAGTTGACATATTGTTCCAGTTATATCTCATTTATCTTTTTGCCGAAAAAAAAAGGAAATATTAATATTAACAAAATCTAATTCTGCCTTCACAGATAAATTTGAGCAGTTTTGGGCAATAAATCGAAAACTCATGGAGTATCCTCCAGAAGATAATGGATTTCGATACATCCCATTTAGAATTTATCAGGTAGGAGACAACAAAATAGAAACACTTTTGCCAAACTCCTCCACTGAGATGTCATATACCAGAATCTCTTCTCAGAATTACATGTTCCCTTTTCTGACATGGTAGAACTTTCTCTGCTCATCTGTGCTGGACCTGTGAGTTGTGTGAATTAGCAAAATAAAATAGACTGTAATTATTCCAATAGGTAATTACCATTTGTCGTGTTGTAAGTGTGAAATGCTGGAGAATGTGCCAAGGCTTGTATAGATCATGTTTGTGGTTGTTTTTTGTTGTTTAACTAAAAGCTAGTTCTTTCATTAACTGCTAACTAGGAAGGTTGCTTGGGATGCAAAATGTCCTCTGAAAGGTCAAGTTAAACATTTCAGCAGCAACACTTTTCCCTCAGCCACTGTGTGTGCTTCTTTTATTGTTGGCATTATGTGGTGAATAAAATGGCACAGTTCTTGCAACTAGTTTTGACTTCAGTCTTCTAATTCTGTACTTCACAATCCAACACTGGCTTTGAATTATCTTTTTCTGTTTCAATAGATCAGTGCTCTGTTTTTCTCAGCAGTTTGTTAGGAGGCATATTCTTTGGTGTCCTTACCATTTTTCAATGAAGTGAAGTTTTTATAGCATTGAGGTCACCATGAAGTTTGGAATCAACTATGGTTAAAAGCTCATCCAGAATTAATGTAGCCTCTCCATAAATTAAACAGTTCCGCTCTGTTTCGTCTTTGAAACATGTTCATCTATTTAAGTTTTACACCTGTAACTATAAAAAAAAAATACCTTTGTTCATAGTACTGAGTAGTCTGATACTCCTTGGTAACAGATTTTAATGACCATGCAGACCTACACAGTCCTGCAGTGGAACTGAAATAACTTTTAGTGTTAGATATAAGATTTTTACCGTCATAGTGAAACCTTAGATTGAGAACGGAAGTCAGTTGTTTTGTTAGAGATCACAGCAGATGGCAATGTTTGTGTAAGTATCAAAAAGTATGTATCAGGAAAAGTAGTTCGCTCACACCATTTTGTTTGGTTTGTGACTAAGTTGTTTGTTTGTTCTCTGATAGGTGGGGGGTTTTTTTAAGCCTTTTCATAGAAATCACGTAAATGGGTTTGCAAAATGGAGGTTTTGCAGTCTGAATAAGGTACAGACCTGTAAGCCAGCAGGGAAGTCTTCTAAGATATCAGGTGATTTCATGCTAGTAAAACCTTTTTTTTAGAAAAAATTAAATCTGATTCCATAACATCTATCCATTCAGCAAATATCCCTTGTCTTTATTCTCATAATCTTTTCAACTTGAAACACTTGCTGTAGTTCAAACCCAGAGTATCTAAGAAAAGACCAAACACAAATCAGGCTGATGCTGAGATAGCCTTTGATAAGGTATATTATATTGAGAAGTGTATATTATTTTCAATAAAGCTGGTCTTAATATTTCTAAATATTTCAGTAGTGTTCCTCTTTTACAAAAATAAGTGGATGCAGGTATTTCTAGTTTTTGAGTTTGGTTTGTTGGTTGGTGTACTGATTATTACTAGTCATAAAAGTCTATGTATTTAAAGGAATTCTCAGAAAGTGTTAATTAGATTATAATTTGATTTCAAGCAGAGTTAATTCCTGTAGTTTTAGCATGATTTTACAGTACTTAATGACAGACTTGTATATACTGAAGTAACTGATTCAAAAGCATCCTTAAGATGTATTTAACCCCAACTGCATTTAATTTCCATTAGTGCTGGTAGAAGTCAGCTTTGTATTCTAACTGTTTTTTTGCATATCCTTTCATAAGTACCTGAAAGCCAATTTAGCCTGGGTTTCTGTTACAGTGGACATTTATCCCCTTTGTGTTTTCACACAGTGTTTTTGTAGATACAGGTGGATGGCAGGAAATTAATAGGCACTGTCTCCAGCGGGGAGAGTTCCTCCTCTCTAGCTCCATACCTTCCATTACCCCAAAATTATTAGAAGGAAATGCTGTGAAGGGAACTGCCTAGGCTGTGTTTTGGCAATGTGAGGTGGATGAGTTTGCTTTCCTTCAAAGACATGATGATACCAACTAAGAAAAATCAGTCTTAGCAATGATGAAATGTCACTGGGAAAAGCTGCTGCAGAAGAAAGAAGTAATCTGGCATACTTTTCACTGATATTTTCAAAACTCAAAAGACTCTTTCAGTTGTAAAGCTTGTCTGTTAAAATACATTTCTAAAGAATAATATGAATCATACCTTGTGGTGTGCTATCCAAATCTGATGGTGTGTGGGGGAGAAAGATGGCAAAAAATACAAATGTCATGCTTGGGTAAGTCAGAACTAGAGTAACGAGGGGTAGTTTTTAAAGTCCTTGTCCAGCCCCTCTTCTTTGAAGTGTAGCAGCTAAGATTGGACCAGACTCTTGGCATCTGCTGTAGAAGACGGAGAAAACAACTGAGTTATCACTAAGGATCAACTCATTTGCAATTTTGAATGTTAGCTAAGAGATCCTGGAGATTTTATTTCCACTTGTCATAGTTCCATACAGCACAGTTTAAACTTGCACGAGACAAACCTTTGACATAGGTGGAAACTTTTTCTACCAGAGACGGTTTAAAAATAACGCTTATGTTTTTGTGATGCTTTTGCTTACATGCATTCAAAAAAGAAAATGCCCCTCTTCATCACTTCAGAGGTGATGAAGCTTCCAAGCTGCTGTCTCTTCAGCTGGCAGTTGCACAGAAACATTTGTTACCTTTTTGTCTGGTAGTACTGTTGAATACAGTGCTTTTTTCACTTGTTTTTTAATAGCAAGAAAGAAAATAATAGTAATGTTTTGAGTATATTATGCGTTTATGAGTGTTTTCTTGTACAGAGCTAGTTTGGCCTGAGGATTTATTTCCCCATGTTTATAAGATCAGCTGGTTTTGCACTTTCTAATTGGACAAACTATATGGCTGATAGATTGCAGGAAGTTTTCGTCAGCCTTTGGCTCCTGGCACTGGGCATGTTAGTCAGACTCTGGAGAAGAGTCTCTGTGTGATGATAGAGACTTCCCTGATGAACCCGTCTGCTCTCTAACACTGCAGATGAGAGCACTCTTGAGTCTCAGTTGTTTTAAGTTTAGTGTGCAGTCATCCCTGAGTTTTGGTATCTTGCTCTCTCCTCATGTCACACTCCCTCACTTGATCTTCCTTGCTCTCTACCTGTCAATCATCTTCCTTTCCCCAGGAGTCTGCCATATCAGTATATAGGATGTGAGGTTGCAAATAGGATATAATTTCTGAGAGTAAAATTACAAAAGTATGTGAAAGAAAATGCATTAAAAGTATTAATGACAAGTTCTTCTGAGCTTTTCTAGAGTCACACTTGGTTTAAGGCAAGTGGCTGTTTTATGTTTGCTAACCCAAATGGGGATGATCTGGCATTGTTTGTTTGCTTATTCCTCTTTCTGGATACTGGGACATGTCATTGTACTGAAATGAGCATTTCCTTGCCTCTGTTTTCTAAGGGTTATTAATTTGATTGCCTAATTCCATAGTAGACTACAGCTTTGAGCAGGCTTTTTCTATCACAAGTCCCTTAAGATGTTGTGATTAATTTGTACCATCACCAATTGTTATGGTGTTTACCTGCCTTAGCAATGTGAGTGAAATTCTTTATATTTAATAAATTGTCCATTAAATCCAAGGCTTTGCTCTTTTTGTCAGAGTTGCAGTACTGAGATGTCTAAATAGATTTAAATGTCTACCATCACCTGTCCTCTAAAAAAAGCAAGGTGAGAGGGGGGGGGAAATGAAATATTCTAGGAAGTTATTAGTAGCTGGCTCAATAAATGAGTCTGAAGTCCAAGTGTGTCCCTTTCCCAAGCAACAGAATATTGTTTCATTTGCATTTCCACATGAATTGGCAGAGCTCAGATAATCAATTGGAAAACCTATTACAAGTGTGCACATCAGCATCACAATTTGGCCCATGTTACAACATCTACTCAAAGCTGATCAAAACAGATTGTTTGGCAATATACTGCAAATAAAGCTTTCAAGTAATAAAAAAATCCATCCTTATATGCTAGAAGGTTATTAAATATTTTTTTTTGGTGTTGGTGAAAAGCTTTTATTGTATTTCAAGGCTGAATTTGTCTGACTTCACTCTGGTTTCTAGATTTTGGTCTACCATCCAGCACTTGAAAGTCATCTGACTTCTCAACCTCCAAATTCACTTGCAGACTAATTTCAGCAGCTTCAGTTTTCTTTGGGAAGCTGACTCAATTGAGCTCTTAAAGCCTCTTGTCATGAGGCTTACTTAACAATTGGTTTTTTAGTCATCTTTTCAAACACTAGCTGATACTTTAATAATCCTTGAGATTAGTATTAAAGTTAGGGATACATAGAGGCCAAAAGTAAAGCTTATTTCTGTAGGACTCTAGATCAGAAATAATTGAAGTAATGGTGGGACAGAGGTGGATCTAGCTGCTACTTGAAACTGCAAATCTGAATACTTTTATTAAAGAGGTTGGAAATGCAGTGACTTTTCAAGCAAAAGAATTAGAACGTGTAAGTCGACCTGAAGAGGGCAACACAACACAGCAAGTGTCCATGTCTTGTTGGCTCTTGAAGAGACCTGTGTGTAGTACCTTATTTAACTTTTTTCCTATGTATTAAAAATGACGTTTTCTTAAATCACCTGCTGAAAATAGACACATTTCTTTAAAACTTCCTTTTACAAAGAGGAAGTTTGAGTGAGTAGGAAAACAGAGCTGCACTCAGCTGAATTTTTGTGCTGAAAAGCAAAAAAATGAGCTCTAGTTCATCAGTTGAGTAGTTGATGGTTCAGCACTGAAGAAACACTAGCACACTTTCACCAGTTTTAAATTACTTTCCCATTCATAGAACTTTGATTTTAAAGTTTAAAAGGTAGGCAAGTATTTTTCACAGTGCCTCATTATTGGAGAAAAACCAACCCTTGTATCAAGTGTTGTGTATGGGCAGCATGATCCATAAGTTGCTATGAGTACTTATATATTGCTTACTTCAGTG